GTGATAAACAACACAAGAACCTTGTTTATCAACAAATAATAGTAAAATTTCTTATTTATTGCAACATTTCCAAAACGTTTATCATAGATTATCATGAATATAAATTCCATTGTGATCGAATCAATATGATCACATGTTGAAATAGCAGTATTAACCCTTTGAGGGCGAAGCCCGTATATATACGGTTTGAAAATTCCACTGGAAATGAAAATCTTTAGCTTTGTTCAAGTAGATTCTTTGAGTGGTCTGTTCCTTTTCCTATCTCAAAAATCTCTATTTGTGTCTTTGCAATAAGAACCAGTATAACAATTATGATAGTTAATTCGTTTCAGGTTAGAACTGATTCTGACACTACGATTTTATTCCTTTTATAAAGAAAAAGTCCGCCTTCAAAGGGTTAAGTACAAGTTTATCAACAGCATTGATTTCTTTCTTAACCAAAGAACACCAATTCTGAAGAACAGACTAAACCAATGCAACAAAAAAAAAGACTCTAGCTTCTATTAGTACACTGCAAATCACTACAAAGAAGCACATATTTCTCTGATATATGCAACATATGAATGACAATTATTCTTTACAATGAAAGTTCTTAGATTCATATACTTTTATGAAGTTATATCGAAATTGATTTTGAGGGAAAAATTTAAACACAAAAACAATCATTTTAATTATAGTTAGTGTAATATGTACATCATCTGATCATGAAGTGAAAGCTAAAATACCATGTAGCAAAAAAAATAGGCAAAGGTTCATAATTAAGTACTCAGGTTTGTTGGAAATGAATGATTCAATAGAATCAAATGAACCTTTTGTGAAAATCACATCCATTTTCGAAGAAAATATTGTGAATGTACGTTGAAACACAGGTTTTTGCAGTGATTTCTTACACTCTAGCATCCGAGGAAGGGAGGAGGAAAGTTAAAGATTATTTGGTAGGATTTTCTATACATGGGAAAAGACGCGTCATTAATAACATTGCTTAGATCAGTTTGAAACTTTCTAGAGCCTTTCAAAGCATTCCATGAATCTAAGATTTTTACTGTAGATTTTAACTAATCTAAATATTCTGAGTTTTGCTATTTAATTCATGACATGGTAAGTTCCTATTGCCAGAAAATTCAAATGAAATGGCAATGACAAAAATTTTATCGAAACTCAAGTCATTCCTTTGAGAAATAAACATAGAAAACAAATTGTAATTGGAAAAGCATATAGAAATGAAGTGCATATCTTTGTAGTTGATCAAATGATGTCTTTTATGGGTATCGTCGGAAACTCAATCAAGTACCAGCACAGCAGAGATAGGAGTTACAGAGACATAGGATGTATAGAAAATACAGTAGATACTAAACGAGCGAGTGATTTCACACACACAGGACATCGCACCTGGTGTGATTACCGAGAAAACATGAAGGCAAGTGTGAACGTATATACTGTATATCTTGAATACCTCCAAGATGTCTAATATCTCCCATTTCTTCTATTTCACCTGGGATATAGAAGACATCAATTGTATCAATGAAGAAAAAGAAAATTTAGAAAATTCCTTTCACTCTGACAATGGACTTTTTTCAGATTTCTGCACCTTATTAATTATTTTTCACTTTTTATGTCCAACCGTCCCCTCTCCCCACACCTCCTACTTCCATACACCCATACAAACCACTTGAACTCAATCCACAGGCACAGGCACACTTACATCGTTTCCTTCTGTATTTTATGATAAAACTCGTTTTATTTTTGCAAATAATTTTCAATAGCAAACGTAAAAATAGTTGCACGTGTGTCCATGAATAAAAAAATAAGTTTTTACTTTTTCAAGTTTTGTTGAATAGAATTATGCTTAGGAAAAATCAGATTAACGGAGTACTCTGTCAAATATGTAAATCAATCAGAAAAGTTATATCTTGTTTGTTTTTATGCAACATAGGAGCGCACAAGTATTGGCCGACCAGGTTTAAAGTAAGACCATTGCGCAGAGCGGCTCAATTATGTTTTTGTGTTCTCGCTTGGCATAACATTAATTGAGGACAATGACATGAACGTAGTCCATGTGGTTGTCTGCGACGGAACATCCAAAGATGTATGTTCGTCGAACGAATCTGTCGTCGATGCTTGCGAAATATAATTGTAGTCTGATTTATAAACATTTTTACTGAAAATAGATTATATCATGAAAAGTGCATGAATTCATTCTTCTAATTATTATTAAGTTAGAACATCGAAAAATGAGCTGATATTTCCACATGCATGCTAACTATGACATGAATCTATACTAAAAATATCAAATGAAACAACATTTGTATCTTACCAGGGAATCACTCCAACTGATTCCGAGCTTTCGATTTCATCTTTTGGCTATAAGTAGGTTCCAGTGAGACTAAGAAAATCCTAGAAGCGTCCGTTTCCATGGCGTATTAGCGAAGAGTTATGACCGTTTTACTGGATTTTTTACTCAGGACTCGGGTATTTCCGAAAACCTTAAAACAAGTAGTTTTGACCTAAAATTTTCCCCATAGATAGATCTATTAGCTATTAGAAAGTCCTGCAAATTTCAAAGAAAATAAACGTGCCTTTCTTGGGATATTTAATTTCCAATAAACTTGACAATTTGGTCCTCCTGTAATAAGAGGCTGTTTGTTTTGAAAAATGAGTATCTCGAGAAAGGCACGTTTATTTTCTTTGAAATTTTCAGGACTTTCTAATAACTAATAGATCTATCTAAGAGGAAAATTTCAGATCAAATCTATTTGTTTTAAGGTTTTCGGAAATATTCGGTCCTGAGTAAAAATCCAGTAAAACAGCCATAACTCTTCACTAATACGCCATAGGAACGAGCGCTTCTAGGGTTTTCTTAGTCTCACTGGAACCTACTTACAGCCAAAAGATGAAGTCGAAAGCTCGGAATCAGTTGGAGTGGTTCTCTCGTTAGAGCAAGAAAGCAACTTGTTTTTTTAATAATCAATTGGTATATCAAGCACATTCATATCTTCGATAAACAATATTGATTTATCTTCAAACTTTGAGATCTTAATCAGTAATGAATCCTTGAGTATTTATATAAATTTGAGTCAAATCGGCACATGTTTATTCAAGATATTGAATATATTAGTACAACACAACTAGTAATAGTAATAATCGTATATCTCTGTTCAGGAGGAGGTCTGGAAAGCAAAACCCTTTGTTCCCTTAATCCAAAATCTTGAATTCACCACTGATATCAGTGCCACTATTTTAGATTCAAATCTATAAATATTATCGAGATAACCCATTGAATCAATTCTTGAATATTTTACAACGAAAAAACAAAGTACAAAATTCAAATATTTTCTTCCTACGTTTACAGAACTAAGTAGTATGAAACAGTTTATTATGTAAACTTCGCTGAGTTCTATATAAAGTTGATATGTAAAAGTTTGTTTTGGGTATGAAATGGTGCGGGATGAAAGAAGGCCCTATTCATAGCCACATCAGCACCTACCAATATCCTTGTCTTTTGCACGCGTATTTATTTTACTCTTTCACCCATCCTTAGTCACATTCGATCATCTTTTTTCGTTGTTTATTTTTGTTCTTTTGTTCTCTTTGTGTGTGTTATCAACATTTTGTTTGTGTTTCTCTGTGCAAATCTTATTGTGCGTATGAATATTATTTTTCAATGCTTTCGAGATTACTTAATAAATAGAAAATTCAAAGACAAATTTTCAATAAAGGTATTGTTTCAAGTATTAAAAAGTATTAAAACTTTATATCAACTCAATATCTACGGTTTAGGAGGTATCAAAACTATCATTTCAAATATTGAGTGAAAAAAAATGCATTTTTATGATCGATAACGAAATAAAAATGTTTAATCAATAGAAATTTTCACTGTATGTAGAATCACGTGTATCTTTTCATTCAATACGTAATCTACCAAGCAATTTTCTTTTGTACTCATCTTTTTTTCGAACTCTTATCACTGTATATAAAAAAAGAAAATGTAAACAGAGGTAAAGTATGATGGTAGTAGTTGACTATATCAGAAATGACGTTAAGGTTCAAAGAGTAACAAGCAAAAAACCTATCAGATACTCATATATATTGAATGATGAATTTCTCTCTCTCTCTTGTTCTAAGAAAAAAAGATAACATCAACAATATAAAAGCTTGCACTTTATTAATCTTATATTCGTTTATATATACTAATACTCAATATGAATACCAAAATTCTCATTACTTTCATGTTATTATTAGGTTTGTATTCTCTATTAAATTGTTCGTTTCGAATAAGATAAATATCTTTTCTTTTTTTTGACGTAGTTGTCATTGGAAGCATTGCTAAACAGTGCTATAAATGTATCGCATGCCCCAAACCGTTCAAGGGAAATGAAGAAGGTGTTAGCAAAGTCGACGTTGGAGACAATGATTACTGTCAAGTATATATCTATATATACATTTTAAAAGCATTTTTTATATCGACAACTTAAATTTTATAAAATTCTTTGTAGAAAATGATTGCGTTAGGTGTTGAAAGTCGAGACAGTGGTGGTAATGATTGTACACCTATAGACAAAATGAAATATTGTTGCCAAGGTGATTTATGTAATGGAGCAACAACAATTAAATTGACAATCAAACTTTTGGCAGTAACGATTAGTCTGTTGTTTACTGTACAATTCCTTCATTGAATGAACTTTAGTTGATTCTTGGCTTGTATTTTCGTTAAAGATTATTTGTATTTTTTACATGTATGAAAATACTTTTCTGTTTACAACTAATGTGTAAAAAATAAATCCAGCGAGCTTATTCTACTTCATTTTCAAGAATGTCAATATGAATATATAGAAAATAATTCTGCTTTTTGAAATTGAAAAATAAAAACAGAAACAGTAATAAAACCATGTCATTCATGAAATTCATATTATTTTCATTTCTAATTCATTATATATAGTTCACGTAAATTTTATACGAGTTAAGTCCACTATGATAATTTAGTATTAAATATGCATTGACATTTATGAACGATGAGATTTAGCAGTGAGAATCTTTCTTGGAAGTTTCGTCACAGTCACTCCTTTATCTTTATTTCTTATTGTATTTGTGGTAGCTAAAGCAGTCTTTGGGTGAGCTTTTATTGGTTGCATTTGCATAACTGATTTTTCTAAGTCGATAAGGTTCTCATCATCAACATTCGATAAAAGGAATTGTTGACTTGTAGCTGTTTTTTGTCGGGATATTCTCTTGACGCTAATTCGGCTAGGTGTTGATTGTGGCACGACCGAAGCACTTAGTGATTTTTTATCGATAGCTTTCGAATTCTTTTTTTCATTTTCATCGTTTTGATCGAGTTTTGACACTTTACTGACTTCAACATGCGTAAATGCTGAGTGATGTATGGCCGAAGTTGCTTTTTTGTCGTCGCCACGATCATCTGATAAATTTATCTCTGCATCTTCAATGTCATTCATTGTTTCAACTTGGTTACGCTTAATTCTTTTAATAGAGACTAATGATTTTGGTCTACTTTCTTCTACATTTGCGGTACCATTCATTGTTTCAGGAAATGTCGTGTCAGATAATTTAATGTGTGAATCAGAAACAAAATCATTATTTATACTGTTTGCTGCATGCGATACATCATAAGCAGGATAATTTTTCCTTAAAGTTTTTGTTGTTAAGTTTCGAGTAGAAGATGATGTTTGCCATGTCATATCAGATATATCATGCGATCCAAAAGTCTCTACTGTAGTATCTACTTTTCTTTCTTTGTGTCGACGACGTCGAGCAGTAGGACTCCTATTCGAAAATAAATACTAGCAAATTAACTGGTAAAAAAAAGACTTACCAACAGAATCGATATAAAATGTAGCAAGAACAGCATAGAGTAAGTAATAATGCCAACAATGATATACCCAAAATTAATGGCCAATTTATAGGAGATGCTGTATGTCAATATATAACATATATATAGAAGTTTGAATAATCGAACGAAACTATACTATAAGTACAGCGATCATCTTTGACTTCGTATGAAATCCTGCAACTTTTCAAAACTTCAGTACTAATTATCTTTGCAAACAATATATTTGAATTTTTTTTTGAAAAGTATCAAATAGATAAAGATTACAAAACACTTTGTGATTCCGTTGGAATCTGTATATCATCTCTTAGTTGTAAACATGAAAATAACTTTTAATCTTAATTTTATTACTATACATATATTAGAAAGAAAAGATATGATTCTGAGTTCTTGATAATTTCTTAAATATAATTACATTTAGTAAATGTTTTCACATCCAAAGCAATACGAAGAACAATTTTCCTATCTTTCAACTACCTTGCGGTATTAGGTGCTGTGAAACGACAGATTCAATAGTCTGATATCTTCTCTACATGTAATACTAGCTAGAGCTCTAGACAGAAGATCGATCTGACGCAGAGTTTTTGCCAAGAGCAGGCGTATGTCACAATGTAGTCAGCACACTGTTGGAGAAGTGACCCGAGACAAACAGCCGTTAGTGACTTGTTCAGGATCATTCCATAGCTGCTAGTATACTGAGGCTTGTACACAGTACCTTGCTGATTTATGTTACACAATTTAGCCACTCAATAGTGGCGGCTTCAATAGAATCATCATTAAGTTAAAGTTTATTACTTAGAACATACCAAAAGTAATGACAGTCTTATCTCAATTTCGTATGGACGGCTAGACGAAATTTTTGTTTTTATATAAACTGATAGTACAGACGAAGCTCTACAGTTCTACACTACTTGATCATTATTCATCTAATATTATCATAATAATAACAATTCTATTAGACTTGTTTAGCTATGATATGTAACGATAACATTAGTCCATATGGTCTTCTCTTTGTTCTTGAAGGGAGGGTGAGAATGATAGTTTCATGAAATCTTTGAATAAATAAGAATATAAAAACATTCGATAAATGGATTCAACGAATGCAATTATGTGCAGATAACCAAAGCGATTATTTCGAACACTTGACGAAATACAAAATTTGTTGAACTTGTTTCTGTATTTCTTTTTTATTCTATAGCCACTATTTTTTGTATATTCTTATATATATGTATTAGATGGTTAAGCATTCAAAGATATAAGAAATTGAGATAGGACCACCACTACTTTTGATATGTCCCCAATAGGATACTTAATCTTTTTGAATACACTGAATTTAGATATGATAAGATTCTTTTTCTGCGATCTCGCTCATGATAATATCTTAGATTATTCAATGTATCAAACAGAATTCAATAAATCACAATAATCAGTATTTGCAATTTTACAAATTTGAAAAACTATAAAAGTTCAAAGATGATCACGCTATAATTAAACTATAGACTTCATGGTTGTCAAACATTTAAAAATGAAATCAATCTTACCTAACGTTTCAGTTGTTGTTCTAAATAAATAAGAAAAAAATATTAATCATAAAAATAAAACAATCTATTCGAATCAATTCTGAACATAATTCAATTTTATACTACTTAATACAAATAGACTATTATGCATCAAATATTATTAGATAGAGTCTTCTATGAATAATATTATAAATGAAAACAGATCCTTAAAGTTCACATGCATATGAAACAACTAATTTAAGAATGATTAGCAATGATAGAGATGTAAAGTCTTTACTCTTTTGATTAGTTACTTACGCTGTTGTAGTCGTGACTGTTGTTGTTGTTGTAGTTGTCGAGGTTGTTGTTGTAACAGAAGTTGTTGTAGTTGAAGTTGAAGTACTTGTCGTAGAAGTTGTGGACGATGAAGTTGATGTAGATGATGTTGATGATGTTGACGTGGATGAAGTTGATGACGATGACGTCGATGAGGTGGACGTTGTAGAAGTTGTCGTTGAAGTTGTTGTACTCGTGCTTGTTGTAGACGTTGTTGTTGTTGTTGTTGTAGTTGTTGTTGATGTTGTGCTAGTCGATGTGGTTGTTGTTGTTGTAGTTGCTGTTGTTGTTGTTGTAGTTGTTGATGTTGTGCTAGTAGATGTGGTTGTTGTTGTTGTAGTTGCTGTTGATGTTGTTGTAGTTGTTGATGTTGTGCTAGTAGATGTGGTTTTTGTCGTTGTGGTTGTCGTTGTGGTTGTTGTTGATGTTGTTGTCGTTGTTATGCAAACATCTGATGTCTTTACAGTAAATGTGACGCAATACTGTTCTGATTGAACTTGTTCACTAATTGTAACAAAAGAAAATGTCTTACAATGATGAAAACGATAAGAAAACATTAGTTTACTCGGTATAAGCGATTGTACATAATTTTTGTTGTCCAACTTGATTTGCTTGAGGTGTCCATGTGAATGTAACATAAGATAGTGATGTATTTGTAGGTGAATTTATTAGATTACCATTAGTCATACCAGTAATGCTACTTGATACCACCATATCAGTAAGAATAGCCACATTAGGATTACATAAATTCATAGCATATAGATTAAAACTTAGTGAACTACCAACTTGTACTTCTAAACAACGATCTAATGGAATAATAATAGGTTTCGTTGAACATGACGGATCTGGCATAACATATATAAGAAGTTGAACTGGCACGGAACTCATTGGTGTCATACTGGTTTCGTTAATGAAATCTTCAACCTATGAAAAAAAAGTTATAAAATATGTTTTAATGTAGAATGTAATATTTATTACGTGGAAAAAAAGAGAGTTCTACATTGAATGTTGGCGTTAGAATGATTTTAGCATGTATTAAGAGCATAAAGAATCAGACAATTTTTTTTCAAAACAAAAGCTTTGTCTTCTATTCAGATCCTTCTTTCAAAAAAACTTCATTTCTGTCGGAATCAAGATAAATACAGGTGAGGATAGTTTGACGTCGAATTTTTCACAAAAGTTTTCGATGATTTTCGTCATCTTCTGCTTGAAAACACTCCTCATGTTTTCCAGTTACCTTTTTGCAGATTGTGCTTTTCTGAATTATTGAAAGATCTTCAATATAGTGAACTATGTCTATTTTTTTTGTGTAAAAGAACATTTGAAGATGCATTGCCTACTAGAGTTCGTTTCTTCCTAATTAAATGTTTTTATTATTGTATAAAAATGAACTTCGATAAATGAATGATCATCATTTGAGAGTTTTTCGAGTTGTTGAGCTTGTTATCCTTTTTCGTCGCATAAAAAAGTAATAGTTAGAGAAGAAGAACTCTGTCAAACATGATGATTTGACATGTTGTTTCAAATAAAAACAAAATTAATGTATAGATTGAAGGTTCACATGGCATTTGGGTTCTGAAATGAATTGTTTTTTGTCCTTGTTCGATAAACGTCTGCCAAAAATGTCATTGAATAGGGCTAACAATTTTAGCATAGCCTCTCTACTGTAATACTAACATAACCTAGAACTTCCATGCAATTCGAATCTACCTGATCCAAGCTCGATTTTGGAGGATGGAAACTTTTATAGAGCTTACTTGAATAGAAACTGCATACCAGATGCCCGCTGTAAGACCCGTAAATGATATGGTACAATTGGACAGACTTGTACTAGAAGGTATACTATTCGGGTAACAAATATCGCCACATTCATCGATCGGCTGACGATTGAGATAGGACGCAGTCGATTTTAATGTTGCTTGAGTTTCGATTGTAGTAGTTGCGATTGTAGTAGTGGGCATAGTCGTTGTGACCGTACAACCACCGAAAAGATCCCATATAGGACAGTTTGAGCTACCACAATTGGTTCCTGCACATGTAGGATTACTGCAAGGACAATTGTACGCACACCGGGAATCACAAGGATTGCTGAAGAGGAACTTTTTCCATCTAGTATGAAAACCTTCGGAATATCCAACTAATCTTTTGTAATTTCCACCACTATATTTGCGAATTGTACGGTCTTCATCGTTGGATCGTTTTCGTCTTCGATATCCAGCTGTATATGTTGACCATCGACAACGTACATCATCGTCGGCATTTGCATCCGAAACAGGAATATTAATTTGCATTTGTCTATTTACAATCGCATATTGTGGAGAAACAACTTTGGCTACAGGTGGAGTATTAATGAAACCATCTGGTCGTTTACGAAGATCAATGTATGTTACAATAGACCATTCAAGTCCTTTTTCAGGAGGATTATCTAATGCTATCCAAGCACTTCCTCTATAAGATAGATAAAAATGTGCATCAGCAGACAGAGTAATATTTTTTGATCGTTGACTAGTCATCATTTTCAATGATGAACTAGATGATGTACAATCAGTGAGAATATTAATTGGTGCACTAGAATAACCACCATCAGTCGAACAATCAGCCATACAAATCAGATTAGTGTTAGAACCACTAAATGTACTAGTCGAGATTGGTACATTGTTGGCACATTGTACATATGGATATGTCCATGAATAAGACTGTGTAATTGTAATTTTAACTGAGCTCGAATTATCATAAGGATTAACCGGAGCCCAATTGATAGTTCCACCATTGAAGTGCTTCGCATCAATTAAAATGAAACAAGAAAATAATATCAAAATACTTAGGAACATTGTTTCACTGTTGTTGATATCAATGAATAAGAATCTAAAAGGCTAGTATAAAAACATTGTAACATGTTATTGTAAACATATTTTCTATGCCTTGAATGATGATATAAATTGTCAAGTTTATGTGAAACAGAATAAGCCTCAACAAATAGAATATAATGCATCGTTTTATTTAGCAGAAATGAATCTGCACGAATTTTCTTTCAATAACTTATTTACTCAAGTAGACATCTCGATATAATATTTTAGAGAGATTTAGAAATATAGGGATCCAAACAAAGTAATAGATATCAGTAGACGTAAAGGATCAATATTCAAATAGAAAAATTAAAACGCATTAAAATATAGCATTTCTAAAAAGAGAGTCCAGTAATTGAAGAAAATCGTTTTTGTTTAGAAAAGGTAGGAGATATAAGAAAGCAATAGTTTGTTTACTAATATGGCAGTAGTGAAAAGAATGTATGAAAGTGAATAGGAGAAATAGTTTATTGATGAAAGAGTAATATATATATTCGCAATTGCCTGTAGAAAAATAATTAAAAATACATTGATCGATGCCAATCTTTCTAGTAAAGAACTCAATGAATTTGGCAACCATCTATATGTTTATTACATTCGAAATTATAGAAGTAATAATTATTATTCTGATTCTTTTTTTAGTTGGATAGTATGACAAAGAAGCCTCAAGAAAAACATAAAAAGATCTGAATAGAACTTGTATTGTATATGCGTGAAAACAGAACGAAAACGAAATTTCAATCGATATGCGTAGAAACATTGCAAACAAATATTAATTACTGTTAGTATTTTTTTTTCTGCACGCTTCGCTTTGTAAATTTATTTGCTATTGTAGGAAAGTTTCATTTGAAAAGATTCGTCGAATAGATCTGTTCGTCTACTATCTGAGAGAAAGAGAAAACAAACTTGTCGTCTTTTGTATAGTCGTTCTTCAAGTTTATATATCAAATCAAACAGATGCACTTAATTTGTAGTTTAATATTTAAAACATTTTCTTTACAAAAATATAATATAAAAGTTGGAATATAATATTTTTCATCAATTATGTGTTTCACACAACAATAACGTGTATGCCTTCAATCTATCTTTTTTTGCCATATCATTACCGACATACAAGTAGTGTGTTGCCGGGCAAAAATAATATTGTTTTTTTTCAATTTCAATCATCATTATGTAGATGATTGAAAAAACTCATAATGCTTCCTTCGTATATTTTTTCCTTAGTTTGATTTAAAACGAATTTGTTATGTATTGCTATGTCATCAACAAAGAACAAACAAAGCGAACCCTCCATGCATTAAATCTTTTGTTATTTGTGATGAAATTCAATATGCTTCTTTCCTATTTGGGAATTAATCGAATATTTCTTTTTCTTTAGTGAGGAAAAAACAATGACGATGTTGTTATGATAAAAAAAATACTTAATACATCTCGTATAATTTAAATAAAGAATAAACTTGATCATGATTGGTTGGAAATGATAAATATTGAATAAAAAAAATTGATGATTAAGAATTAGAAAGTAGTTATGTATGAAAATGCGAAACAAGGAAAGTATGTTAATAATTTGTCTTCATTTTCAGCTGAAATTGGATCAGACTACTTGAATCAACAGTCTCTATTAGAATTCTTCGGTAGTCTGAAAAAAATGAAGCAACAAATGATCATACTACTGTGTATTTAAAACTTGAAATTATAAACATTGAGTATGATAAACATAAATATAGTTACGCAGTAATAAATGGTGAAATTTCGATCAAAAATGTAGAAAAAAAATCATTATTTTTAACTGTAGAATCCATACCATGATCACCGAAGACATGTACAAGATTTATTGAAAATTTTCTAATTTCTTGGTCTCAAACACATCATTTATGGCATTCATGCTTTTCGTCCTAAGTAAAACCTCATCACTATTAACATACATAATGTGCGCGGAGTGTGGCTGTGGATGCACGTGTACTAATGTGATTGAAGATAAGACTCATGACTGTACACTCTCACCTCACACACATCCACATCGACATCTACACTCGCATCAAAGGTATAAACATGGTACCTTTATACTTTAAAATACACAAAGTACGTTAAAGTATATTAAAATATTTCAGAATATGTTAAAATGGCTTAAAATCAAGAGAGAAACATCGTACTCTTGTACTTTACCGTACTTTATTGTACTTTAGGGTATTTTAGGATGTTACAGGCACCAGACTTAGAAATACTTCATTGCTTTTTTAATAACTCGATATAGTTGCAGCTATCGAACTGCGATTTTCACCAGCACGTAGCCGCTGCTAGAAGAACTCGAACTACATTAAATTCTATCTGATCAACAATTGGACAAACCATTAACAGACGTTTTCTTTGCGAAAATAGATCCAAACTCGATGGACACAGGACCACTTTTTTTAATTTCGCTTGCATATTGTAACAAGTAGTGCCTGATCTACACCCGTACCAAGTTTCAAACCGTCTCCTTTTGTTCTAGGAAAACTGGATCGAAGCTATCAGAGACAAGTCTAGTAATTTGATAGATCATTTTCTGATAACAAGTAACATCAAAGTCACGTCGATATTTAGGCTTTCGACTCGTGCGAGTCTAGGGACATTAATAGTGGGACAATGAGCAATCTTTCTTGATTAAGAACTTGTCATAATGATTGAATTGAACAATCTTAGATATAAGTTCTGTTGCTTTATTTATCGTCTTGCAAATTTATTGACGCTCTTTAGATCAGAGACGTCATCGATCAGGACGCGTTCCAAATTTTTTTCTAGCAAAATCTCAGCTATTGCGACGGTATCTTCGATTCTCTGAGCGTGGAGAATGGTATTTCCAGCTGTTTCCTCATTAAAACCGGCGTTCAGCTCAGCTTCGAAATTCTGAGCATCATTGAGATAAAAGCGAGTATCCTTTTTTGCGTACATATTCTTTCAATTATGCCCACGCTAGCTCTATCGGATGGAGCCCACAGAGTTTAGCTCGTTCACGAAGGATTTCGACACCAAATTCACTTATCTCTTCGTCAAGCTGGTACGAGAAAGAAAACATTTTCGTATTTTCCAACGTGATATTATAGTGTTCTTCGTCTGACTGACATCAAATGTAATTCAGAATAAAATTCGTTCATGATATTTGTTGTAAAGTAAAAATTGCACTTCTGAAAGATACGTTGATGAGAGAACTCGGGTAAAACAACTTTCAAAATATGCGACGCACTTTATAATGTCGTACAGATCTGTTGGTTGATATTAGTTCTAGCAATTAGACTTCGTTAAAATTTTAGCGCGTATTCGTGTTCCATAGCATCCACACCTATTGCCATGGGACTAAAAAAAGTGAACTCGACATCCTTGAATTCACCTTCTATGTTTTACCAATCATCTATGCGCCTAAACCAAGTATCCGCATCTCAACTCATCAGTATTTGAAAAGGGACTTTCATACATTATGCATAGACTTCCCGTGGATCCTAAAGACGCTCTTGGACGCAGCACAGAAGGTCTCTAACGGATCTCCCGGCACTCTCAGCGGTATCACTACGGATCTGTACGAATCCTCAGTTGATATATAGGGATCGATAGGAGTTCTTGAACCAAGCGATATCCAAATTCGAGATGATCGTAAAGGGGCCTTCAAGATATGCTGTGGAAAACTCCAGTAGATCCCTTGGAGATCCTATAAGTTTCCAAAGAATCATGGAAAAATCTCTATCGAATTTTCTGAGGAATCCTTCAAAATCTTCTCTCGTCTCCCTGCGAATTCTCGATGAATATCGTGAAGACCCCCTCCGCATTCCTTAAAGATTCCTCATGATTCTCTCAAGATGCCTCCAGAACTCTCTGGAGATCCTCTCAGAATTCATGCAGATCATCGCAGGGTCGGGGTGAGTGTAAATGAGATAATCATCTTCTGATGACCATCACACACTCTTCATCCACCCACCGACACCCACATGCACACCCTGTCCATCAAATGGCTTTCGTACTATTGAACCACTGAATGGAACTATTATCACTTTATTTACAATATTTTGTCATAACTGGTTTGATCAAGATGGGATTAAAGCTTATTCTTTCTATGGCTTGTCCTTCCTCTTCAACAGAAATCTGATCACTCATTTCTTTATTTTTATTTTTTATTTTAGTTTGGATTGATGCGTTTTTTGAGCGACTAAATATTCAATTGAGTGTGATATCAAAATTTCAGGTTCGATTACCATCTAGAAATGAATTGAGATCATCAATGAATATCCATATTCATATTCATATTCGAGATCAATTTGATTGTATTATAGAATATAATCTCACATCAATATCTGTTTTCAATCATTCAACAGAACTCCAAAATTTTATTGAAAAGTTTCAAATTTCAACAAATTATCAAACAAATCATTCATTGATGAAAACAAACTTTACAAAATCTTCGGTCAAGTGAAAATCTTTTTCTTTGTGATGGCACGAACACTAAAAAGAATATCTATTTTCAGATGGAATTCCTATCTCAAGTATTTCTCTAACATCATTATCAAATCGAATTTCACCAAAAAAGTAAAAAATGAATTTATTCAATCGAAATATTTCTCCAGTTATTTAGCTTTCAACGAGATTCAATCAATCAATCATCGATTAATAGTGTGTGGATGTGGGTGTAAGCGTTAGTCTTTGCACACCGCTGTCAGTTTTAAATAACACCCAGACCCAGACCTACACACCCACACCCACACCCATACCCACCCACACCCATACCCACCCACACCCATACCCACCCACACCCACACCCATACCCACCCATACCCACATCCACACGCCTTCAAACAAATGATTTTTCAACTATCAAAACCAACACATTGTAAAGCCATCTTAATCTAGAGAAGGGTTATGAGTGTAGATTGAAGGAAAGACCTGCACACCCACACCCATACCCTAAGTTCGACAGAGATTTAAAAAGAAATTTCAGTTCTCGACGAAGCTGTCTTCAA